AGGGGGCCACTCGACAATTATTTTTCTCCCATGTTGGCCAGCTTGCCAAACTCCAAACATCAAAATAAAATGTAATTATATCCGGTATGGTACTACAGACCCCAAAAACACACACTGATCAGATCAGTAAATGTAAACTCCTGCACACCGCATGCAATGATATGTGATATGATTACATGTGGTTAGAAAACATTCTCCCTGGATGCACAATCATTGCGTCCAGGGAGAGTGACTGATTCCTATCCGAATGTAATCATATCAGGTATCATTACATGCGGTGTGCAGGAGTTTACATGCAGCTGCTGTCACCTGATCATTAACTTGAATAGGTAACAGCGGCCGCTTTTAAACGCCAGATTAGGGATTCCTGCAGCAGAAAAACGCAAGTTCCTGACGCAGCCATCCCTAATTGCACCTACTTTGAGAGCGTTGATATAAAACTAAACAAAAAAGTTTTGGCTTTATATACACCAGCTGTTTAATACATTAAAAAAAAAAACTTAAATAGGTGTGGCTTACTATTCAGATCCTGATTGCTTAATGATACAGCCCCATGACCGCAAGTAGCACAGCCAATGGCATCTTCACGGTTACAAATGCTCAAGCGGCTGCCAGGGTGAATAATGACCTAGCCATTCACATGTTGGTGGAAAGGCCCTAGATACCCAATCACATCATGTTTATGGCATTTTATATAGGAAATTATACTAATAACTAAAAGTTTAATTTGATGATTAAAATTACAACTGCCACGAGGCTGTGGACCCCCACGAACAGTATCATAGGGGAAGGGATTGGCTGCACATCTGCCTGTTGGCGGCCAGACGGTGTATTATGCGATCCTGGAATACTACTACCACCCCCGCTACCTCGAGTGTCATAGCAGAACTAAAAATGTTGTTCCTCAGGGAGAAACTAGATGCTGAAAATAATGTAGACACGTTGACTAACAAATTCTTCCGGAGATGAAAATACTTTCTTGCGGAGACCTTTGATGAACAGGAACTGACCAACATAATGCAACCCTTTCAATACTCGAAATGGTACCTGAAGAACAAACTGTCTGGAAATCTGGGGCCACTGGAGGTGCTTTGAAGCTTTAAAGTTTTAAAGTTGTAGTTTACGTTGTAATTAACATTGAAGATTGGTAGTTCGTTTACTAGACTACTCAAATATTGCATATGCAGTTATTCAGCTATACAGAGACCAGTATAGAGGTTAGTGAAATAGCAGGGTAGTAGGGCAACAACAAAAATAGGCTTATACAGTGATGCTTATAGTTACTGGGGCAACCAGCACGGGAAAAATGGAAAGAGGGAAAGGTGTTGTTATTTCTGGTGCAATTGTCGAGGCAGTTGTGAGAAAACCTCGTATTCTTTGTATTATATGGTAAGGTACGGCTAGCCCTGTTGGGGGTTTAGTCGCAAAAACAGAATAAAAGTTTGTTTAAAAAAAAAAAAAGAAAAATCAAATGAGCAACAACAGGAATACACATACAGTTACATTGTTAGTCAGGTTGAAAAAAACTCAAAGGAGTTCAACCAATAGAAAAAAAAAGGAAGAATAAAGAAAACCTCCATAAAACAGAACCATATGACTACAGTTAACTATAATTGATCCAGAGGGAAGCAAAAAAAAAAAAAAAAATCTATAAAGCACGGTTCAATTTGCTGCAACAGGGAATTCCATACTGACCTCATAAGGCAATTGATCAACAATCTCTCGTATTATTACTTATACAATGTTAATATCCAGTTAGATTCTGTGCATTTAGGAACGCATCCAGATAAAAACTGAATGTTTAAAGCAATTCATTGCACTAGCTAGAACGTGTTCCTGAGGTAGCCTCTTCCACATTTTCACAGCTTTTACTGTGAAGAAGCCTTTCTATATGTGGAGATTAAATCTCTTTCCTTCAGACCCAAAGAGTGCCCAGTTGTCCTTTGCAGTGACCTTAAAGTGAATAATTTGGCACCAAGCTGACTATATGGACCATTTACTTATTTGGGTTTACTTATCGCCTCTTCTCCAGAGAACAAATTCAGGTCAGTTAATCCTTCCTCATAGCGGAGTTCCTCCATGCCTCATCAGTTTAGTTGCCCTCTAGTTCCACAATATCCGTTTTGTGACCTGGTGCCCAAAACTGAACTGCATATTCCAGATGAGATCTTACTAATGCTTTGTACAGGGGCAGGATTATGTCTCTGGAGTCTAGACCCCTCTTAATACAAGAAAGTATTTTGCTTGCTTTAGAAACTGCAGCTTGACATTGCATGCTATTATTGAGTCTATGATCTACCAGAACACCCAGATCTTTCTCCATCATTGACTCCCCCAAACATACCCCCCTAGAGTGTATGACGCATGCATGTTTTTAGTCCCCAAGTGCATAACTTTACATTTATCAACATTAAACCTCATTTGCCAAATAGATGCCAATCACACAGTGCATTCAGATCTGCTTGTAGGTTGGAGACATCCTGTAAGGACTGTATTCCACTACATAACTTGGTGTCATCTGCAAACACAGAAATAGTACTCTTCATTCCAAACGCTATATCATTATAAACAGGTTAAAAAGTAAGGGGCCCAACACCGAATCCTGGGGAACACCCCTAACATTATTAATCATTAATAACTACTCTATTAAAACGTTTAAAAAAAAACAGTTTTCTATCCATTTACAGACTGAATTTACAAAACTTAGATCCCTTAACCTTAGACATTATCTGTCTGTTGGGAAATCTGGCAGATACTTTTGCAAGTCCAAGTACACTATATTTGCCACTCCTTTGTCTAGGTTATTGTTTTATTCCTCATAAAAAATAAAGTAAATCTTTTGATAGCTTAGATTTTTTTAATGTGGTTCCTTATCAAACTCTTCAGTATCTTTCCAATTATAGAAGTTAAAGGAGAACTATAAGTGTGTATTTCCCCCATAGTTCTCTTAAGGGTCACGGGAGGACATATACTAACCTCCTCCCGTGACCCAAGGCTCAGTATACTGCAAGCTACAGCTTGCGGTATACTGAGATCATCGCAGCCGAGACGGATCCTGACAATGCTGTCGAGAGCCACCTATCCGCGTGAGTGACAGTTGGCTCTGCCTATCTAGAGGCAGAGCCAGTTGTGCCCACCCCCTCACATGTCCGTTCCTCCAATCAGCAGTCACGGCTCTCTGCAGGGAAATGATCGAGAAGTGAGCGAGCGACGGTACGCGTTTGCTCACTTCTCGATCTATTGAGCTGACGTGTGACAGATTCATTGTCACAGGTCGGCTGGAACTATAAGGATGAGTGTAAATAATCCAAACAATAAGATCCAAATAATCACAGTGCTATATACCATACAAATAAATGTGATGTGTTAGTGGACTACTAACATATATCACATTTAGTCATATGGTATATACTGTAGCACTGTAATTTTTTGGATTACACTCTGGTTTACCAATTAGTTTGTTTTTTTCACATCAACTGAAAAATAGCGGGGAATAATTGGATTTATTTGATAACACAGTTTTTATTTATTTTATTATTACCCTATTGGCATTGTGCCAACCCACTGGTACAGTCATTAAAGAGTCTACAAAAACTACAAACAATAGCTTTGAAATAACAGAGCTCAACTCTTTGAGGCTCTCTTCACATTTCTTTACTATCACCATATCTAAAGATTTTGCATGTTCGTCTTACTCTAATTTGTAACCTGTTGCTCGTTTTGAATTTTTGCAAACTCGATTTGCTTTTTACAAATTTTATCTAACTTTGTAACTTTCCTTTGTTCCTTTGTTTTTATAATTTTTTAAGTGCCCTTTTAAAGGAGAACTATGGGGTTAGGGCTTTACCCTATAGTTCTCCTAAGGGTAATGGGAGGACACAAACTGGCGTCCTCCCGTCACCCTAAGCTCAGTATACTGCAAGCTGTACCCGCACCCTCCCCCGTCTGTTCCGCCAGTCAGCGCTGGAGGATCGGAGCGGGGAATCCAGTCCCTCCCCTGTCACGGCAGAGAGCCGTGACAGGATCGAGAAGTGAGCGAACGCCGGTATGCGTTCGCTCACTTCCCGATCTACTGAGCCGACCCGTGACAGTTTCATTGTCACAGGTCGGCTAGAACTATGAGGATGAGTGAAAAGCACTCGCCTCATAGTTCTCCTTTAGCACACGTAATAACAAAAATGTTGCAAAGAAAGAGATGTCACATGTTGACAAATGTCCTCAATGACATACACAGTAAGGCTGCCTTGTTTAAAAAAAACAAAAAAAACACCTTTCACTTTATGATTATTATACAGGATTTCTATAGCGCCAGCAGTTTGCTCAGTGCTTTACCATATAAGAAAGACATTACAATACAATTCAAGACAAGATGGTAAGGAGGGCCCTGCCCGTGAGGGCTTACAATCTAATAGGGACATTAACAGAGAAATCTTTTAATTTTTTTTATAAGCCTCATCAGGAATCAGTTTCTTCATATCACCCATTGAATACCAACCAAACCCAGGAAGAAGCTAGGGGAAAGAAAGATAATGCAGACTAGCTTAGGCAAGCCTGGCTCACACTCACTTACACAGTGCTCTTTAGTAGTGCTTTCCTCTTTCTTTACACTGGCTCCTTTAAAACAGCAGCCAAATCTCACATCTGCATCCGGCTTTGCCAAAAGTAGAGGCTACAGATTTTTGCATTTGTACCATGGCTTATTTCTTCCCATATCCCTGACTTATACCTGCATCACACTTCCACCACTATAACCACTACTACATCCCTGCATGTAAGATTTAAATGCATAATTTATGTAGAGTGTTTTTAGCCCATTTTCCTGATTTGTCTGCATACTCTGATTTCTGCAGTGTGGTTTTTACTCAGATTTCAACATTTGACATAACCAGGCTTTCACCTTTTTTTCCATACAAAGTCCAGCAAATGAAGCCTCCTCAAAAGATAGTTACAGCCAACAGTATCAGTAGAACAAAGAGGAAAAAAAAAGAGGAAAAAATTACCATGATTTTGGCTCCCCAAAGTGGAGGTAGTTAATGCTGTAAAGATCCATATCTTCCGTATGCCATGCAAATGTGGTTTTCCACATGCCAAAGTAGAGATAAGGAGTATTTACACCTTCAATAGAGATGCCACATTCCTCTTCTACAACATCCAAGATGGTATTTAAGCGGGAAATTTTCCATTCATTTATATCCTGTGGCAAAAATAAAAGCAATTAGTTATACAGCCATCTAGTTCTCTAGCGATAAAATGTACACCAACATGTAACAACCAGTTTGTAAAATATGTTGTTAATATAACCACAGAAAGCAATACTAAAATTAAAATGTTTGTCCAGGAGTCACAAATTAAAACTGCCCAAATGGTAAAATCAGCATACTATTGTTTTTCTCTAGCACAGCTAAGATCAATGATAACACTTCAGGCCACTGCCTATCAGCTCACTCACTGCTAGATAAAGAGCTGGTAAATCCCAAAAGGAAGATAATATATGTGATGTATTAGATAAAAGGTATAATTAATGTTGAGCCAGATAAGCGCTGTAGCAGGAGACTGTTCGCAGAGAACGTACAATGATACACTCATGTTAGGTTTGATACTGCTTGCCATGACATTTATCACATACCGAGACTCCTAGTATCTACTCTCTGACCTTTCAGAAATCACAGACTGTTTCTTATCTCAGGAAATAAATTGTAGGGCATGCAGCGAACATATCAATACTGAAGTCCCCAATGCATTGCTTACAGGCATTCTTTCATTTTACCTTATCTGACACAAGGCAGCTCTTGCATTCATAGAGAAACAAAAAACCTTTATTATGACATTAATTCATATGCAACTGGCCTTTTTGTGTGTTAAATAAAACATATCAAATTGCTATACTAGACCTTTCCTATTTCTATGAAATGGAAAATAGGTGTAACCTGTTTAAGTGGACATATTCATTAGATTTAACTTTGTTTTCCCAAGTCTTTTACAGATATTAAAATTACACTGACAAACAGGTAAAATGTGGAAAAAATATTATTGTTTTTAGTAAGGATGCACCAATACCGGTTTTTCGGTATCTAGTACGAGTACCGATATATTTTTTTTCGGTACTGGTCGAAAGCGAATAGCAATAACACAAATCCCATTAAGGTAGCAGGGGATCCGATACCGGAAGTCCCATAGAGGAAGCAGGGGAATAGCAGGGGAGCCGATACCGGAAGCCCCATTAAGGAAGCAGGGGAGCCGATACCGGAAGTCCCATTAAGGAAGCAGGGGAGCCGATACCTGAAGTCCCATTAAGGAAGCAGGGGAGCCGGCTCCATGCTCCCTCGTCACCAGGTGACGAAGGAGCATGGAGCTGGCTTCCTGGCCAATCAGGAAACCAGGGGCAGGTAATGACTGGCCGCCTGGTTTCCCAATTGGCCAGCTCCACTACCAATCAGAAAGCCAGGCGGCGAGTCATTACACGGCACCCAGCTCCCTGGTTGGCTGGGAAGTTGGTTCCATGCTGCCTCGTCAACTGGTGACGAGGGAGCATGAAGCTGGGTTTCTGGCCAAACAGGAAGCCGGGGGGCAGGTAATGACTCGCTGCCCGGCTTCCTGATACCGGAAGTTCGGGTATTGGGCTAAGCATCGGAGCATTTGGCCGAGTACTCAGTATCGGCACTGATACAAATACTAGTATCTGTGCATCCCTAGTTTTTAGTAATATTGCCCTGAACCACGTCCGAACAGAGCTTTATTTCAGGATGTTTTGGTACAAAAATAAGGATGGTAAAACAATGTCCTGTTTAAGGTGGAAAGCAGAGACCAGGCCTTAGACCTCAGTGTTGCCTTATCTATGTGGAAAATCAGAAAGGGCTCTTTACACTATAAGGCTGGTCTAGATAAAACTAAAGAAACATAATGTGTTACATGGAGCACTTCCTGGGATGGCACTTCCTAGCTTTGCACCAAGAGAAATAAGCCTCCCAGGTGCGATAGCAGACCTTGAAGGTCAACTTCCTAGATTTCCAAAGTGTAGGGATAACAGATTCTAAAAAGGTCTCTACCCTTCAAAGGCCTGGGCTTCAACAGCAAAGCCATTAACGCCAGCAATCAAGAAGCAGGGTAAAAAAATGGTCGTTGAGACAGGAGGTCTAACTATGTCTTCCTGGGCCATTTGGGAGCAATGAAGATTACCAGAAAGCCCTCCATCTTGAACCTGTGAAGGAGCTGAGGCAAGAGTTTTAGAGGAGGGAAGGCATGGATCAAGCTGACCTGATCCCACCGAATCAAAAACACATCATGCATTCTCCATGATCCAGACGTTGACAAGTAAGGAAGTCCGCCTACCAATTTCCACTGGACAGGACTGAGACATGAAGTTCCACCAAAGCCAGGATCAGGTCCACAACTCTAAGACCTGGTTCACACCTGGGCGTTTTGTAGCGCGTTCAAACGCTCAAACACCGAAATCCCATTATTTCCTATGGGTATGGTTCACACCTGGGCGTATTACAGGCCATTTGAACGCGCTACAAAACGCCCAAAGAAGTACAGGAGCTTCTTTGGTGCGTTTTTGTCGCGCGTTTCCATTGGGATACAGCCAAGTAGCCCTCAGAAACGCGCGTTTGTCGCGCGTTTTTACTACGAATCGCTGTAAAAAACACGTCACGAAACGCACGACAAACGCGCATATTTGATACGGCTAGGTGTGAACCCAGCCTTAGAGCTGCTTGACGTATCCACCAGGCCATCTATACAATAGCCACAGAAAATGGCTCTAAACATTTTAGAGCAGCAAGGTTCAGCAAAATGGCCCCAGGGTTCCTAGCCATAGTTTTTGACCATACAGGAAAGGTCTGACACACCACAATAGTGGGAACAGCAGGTTGCATAGCAGGACGATAAAGAGGGCTTTTAACCTCATGTCCACATAAGTACTGAAAACGGGAACATTCTCTACAGGGACCGTTAATTTGTTGTTTAAATAAGAGATCGCAGGATTTACAACAGGGAAAGCCCATTTCAATAGGGTATTGCAGAGCAAACCATTTAGCAGGAGTAAAACAGTTTTTCTGGGTGCTCCCAGTCACTGCACAACACCAGCTTTAAAAGCATGAGTACAGAGAAGGTTTTAGCAGTTCTGGGTATTTTTAGGGCCCCAAGACTAGTGACCTTTGGCAAGATCGACGTAGACTGCTCTAACTGTAAACAATCATGCACCACATCCAGGGTGACAGAGATAGTGTCCATGGAAGCTATGGCAACAGACAGGTCCCTCTTGCTGGACTGTCAATGGAACCGGAAGCAGCCTCCATGTCTTAATCATCTTCTTCCAAAGAAGAGTGCACATGCAGACAGACGAAGGTCAGAGAGTAACTCTGAAGGGGAAGGATGCTTACACCCCCTGCGTTTCAAACATTTTCAAGTCATATAATTTCCACCATTACTGAGGTAAACTCTTCTCTAAAAAGGGCAGAGAAGGGTGCCCTGCAGGGTCCAAAAAGGACCCTGAAGCGGGTAGCGAGAGGGAGAAGGAGCACAGCATAGGACTAGCAGAAACAGCCTCCACAGAACCATTGTTATGCTGTGAGGACCCAGAGCCTGTCACCCACACCATGCTGTGCCTTTAATTCACCACTAAATTAGAGGTTTATCTCCAGTGCCAACTAATGTGGAGGATGCCTAATGTCTCAGAACTCTAGGCAGCAGAGCAGCAGTCAGAAAGGATTCTGAAAAAAAAGGAGGGCAATGTTTAACACCTTCCCCTGAACACTGGAATCCAAAATTGGCCCATGGGGGGGGAAACTGGGTACATGAACAGGGAGAAGCCCAAACTTGCCAATCAAAGCATCAGCTGGCTCAGCAGTGCGGTAACCTAAAGGGGACATGTCCCATCAAGTCTTTACTCTCCCAGTGGGCATCACCCCACACTCAAGGGGGGTCTTTAGGAGCAGGGATCCACCGCAATGGAGCACGGTACTGGGCCTGTAAAACAGGCAGCACTTACATATGCTGCACAAAGTGTCAAGGTTAGTCCCCTAAGCAGGATCCAGTCCACTAAGCAGGCAATTATAGGCAAGCTCCATATCTACCTTTCGGCAGAGTCTGGTTATGGTATGCCAAGGCTTTCAGCTTCCCACGGTGCCAGCCAGGGTCCGCCATATTATATTGCATTCAGCTTCCAACAGTGCGGCACATTATATTGTATTCAGCTTCCCACAGTGCCAGCCAGGATGCACCATATTATATTGCATTCAGCTTCTCACACCAGCCAGGGTGCAGCATATTATATTGCATTCAGCTTCTCACAGTGCCAGCCAGGGTGCAGCACATTATATTGAGAAAAATTATCCAGAGAGCTGCTGTTGGATGCCGTAGTGGCTGTGAGGAGCATCAAGGTAAACATGCTAGAAAAGATCAGAAAAAGGATGTACTTCTCTCAGCGCAGAGAGAAGGCATCCATTGCTTCAGGGCACTAGCAAAAATTTGAGGCAGACTAGAAGTGGGAGGGGTTGTCCTAACAGCTTTGATTTGCCAGTGTCCAATCACCTGAAGGTAGCTACATAACCCATCCTTTCAAGAATGAACTCCCTAGGTCCTGTAATGTACAATCACGAAAATAGGTTATTTTTCAATTCAAATAATAATGCCATCGATGCCCTATTAACTAATTTAAAATTAAAATGTGTAATGATAGGTTTACGGATTATAATGTTTACTTTAGGCTGATCTCTTTCACATGCATATATATAAAAAAAAAAGTGATAAACATATATAGCCATTGTGCATGAATTTATCTACGTTTGCACTAATATTTTGATAAGCTACTGTACTCTATACCCAACTTAACTCTGACTAAGTCAGAATTCGCAATGAAGAAAGAGTTAAAAGGTTAGGCAAGCTTATTGTTCAGAAAAAATAAAGTGACTGTTTTTTAAAGAACCACCAGGTTTTAGATTTTTTAAAAATTCTGAGGATACTAAAAGGAGGTAAATGTTCCACTTGGTGTTTCTCAGTCAGTCCAGTTACACTTGGCATTTCTCAGCTCTATTCACAGTTTTTTGCGTGTAAAATGCATGCAGAAAAGAACATTAAAATACATGGTTTCTATAAGTGCCACGGTAATCACTCTTTAGTTCTTCTTTTATCAGCACTTGCCCTTCTTTAATAAGAGACCCATATCACATGGTACTCGGCAAAAGCAAAGTAAGA